GGGTTTGGGTTTTGGGTTTAGGGTCTGTCAACAACCAGAATGGCGTCAACATGCACTGCATGAATGGCGATGGTATGTACTTCGAAGCAGTTGTCGTTGCTGTGCTGACTAGGCGAGCTTGAGCTGCCACTCATGTCAGGCATGATGAGCGGGGGCAACCGGCACGGCACAATGCGTTTATGCTCGTATACCGGCAGCAAACACGTTGCCGCACTCCATCTACAAAAGAATCATCCCTGCAAAAAGCATCGTCAGGCGGCATAGCTGCTGTCGGCTCATGTAATTTGTGGTACGAATTACATGGGGATGGTTTTGCTTTGCACCTTGCAGTTTCGAGGATTCTTCGACTGTAATAGCCTGCACAATTCCCTGCGAGGCTCCCATCGGTGGTGTGTGCAGAACCTCCACCTGCGCGCTCTGCGCGAACAAGGGCTGCACCAAAATGGGAAGCCTTCTTGAGCCCTATCGTCGCAACGATCCCGAGTCTCCTCCCCCTTGCAAGGCATTTGGCTCCGGCAATCGCCACATCCAGCGTGGCGAAAGGCGCATTCGAGACTCGGACGTTAAGAATTCAAGCTCTGAAGAGGCAGAAGATGAAAAGCCGAAAGCCGTTCTAGAGTTTTGCAAAACCAAGACATATTAACGCCCCTAGTAAGGCCCTACAGTAGTAGACACCCTAAGCCCTAAACCCAAATTTGCTTGAGGGCGGTGCTTCGCATTGGCTGCGCCGGCGCGTGAAGCAGATCTTCACCGCTTCGAGCTCTTGAACTCGATTTTGGATCCTCTTGGGCATCATGGCCTAGGTTCGTCAGAGGGTTTAGGGTTTATAAAACCCTAGACCCTAAACCCTAAACCGGGTTTAAGGCTTCGGGGGTTCTATGAAGGGCTCGAAGGGTTTAGGGTTTAGGGTTTAGGGTTTAGGGTTTAGGGGTTAGGGGTTACTATGAAGGACTCAAAGGTTTGGGGCTGTGAGGTGTTAGGGGACCATGTGTTGAGGGCTTTAGGATGTTCTAGGGTTAGACGGCAGTCTCTAGGGTCCCAGGAAATTCAGAAATTCAGCGCTTTCGGGGATCAGGGTATAGAGGAAGTCCCCAGATTAGGGTGAGGGTTTAGGGTTTAGGGGTTAGAATCAAGGCTACTATAGCGGATTGGGATGGGGCTCCCCCCAGAAACCGCTTAGGAAAAGCCATAGACCCTAAATAAGAACTCCAAGGAATCCGAAAAAGCCGAGGTCCTAAGCAGAAACAGGAACTATTGGGCGACCTAGTGGCTGAGAAGATCATCTCATCCACCTGCAACAAAGATTTGGAGCATCGCTCAGGGTTGCTTACGGCCATGGGCATGGATTGGGTTTAGGGTTGAGGGTTTGGGGTTGAGTGTTTAGGGCTTGGGATTTACAGGGTTTGGGGTTGATTACCTCTGCTTACCGGGAGAAGTCTTTCAAAAGATTTTTCGGGTGGGTGGAAGGGTAAATAACCCTAAACCCTAAAACCTAAACCCTAAACCCTAAACCCTAAACCACAGGATATCATCGCGGGCTTCCCAGCCTCCATGACCGATCCCAGGGCCACTGCATTGAGCATCAGCTCGGTGATGGAAGCGGTGTTGGCAAGCCAGATGATGCCCGCATACAGAATACCTACTGCTCTCAAGGAGTGGGATTTAGGTTTTAAGTTCTGAGTGAAACTTCAGGGTCTGTTCTAGCTTCAGTGTTCCTGCCAGCCTTAGTTTTATGCTTGGCCACAGACCGACAGAGGGCCTGCCGCAATGGCCATGCGCATCAGGCTCGTGAAGCAGAAGAACCAGCAGCGGAAGTAAGAGATGGTGCGAAAGGAGCCATGTTCAAAGGTGGTGGCGCCACTTCGCGCCACATGCAGAATAGCCTGGTCGCATGTAGCACTACGCAACCGAACCCGAGCGCCACGTGCACACGCACACGTCAGCCTGATTACGTGTGTGTGTGTGTGTATATATATATACATACACAACACATATGTATGTGTATATATATATATATACATACATATATATATATATATACATATGTGTATACATATGCACGGTCTATGCATACGCAGCGTACATACAGAACCATAAGCCTAAACATACACAGAAGCTAAAACAAAATAACACAAACGTGTCACGCATGGTGCATTTACACATACATACAGATCCACATACATAGATACTTAATCTTGTGGACATGCCTTGCTAAAACTATAATCAGTATTATCACCATTTCAACTACTGCGATTACCAGTGTTTTCTCTTGTTATTCTTCTGAGTCCAACGGCTCTTTGCATTACGATATTAATCATGATCATGAAGACTGTTCTGATTATCATTGATATACTCGTGTATTCTTATTGTTACTCTCTTTGTCTCTCTACATGCATACACATGATACATATATATATATATATATATATGTATATATATATATATGGATAGGTACTGGTATAAACTGATGGGTCAGCGTTTGTGTGTGTGTGTGTATGGGTGGGTGCGCCGGTGTGTGAGTGTGTGGGTTGGCGTGTTTGAGTGTGTGGTTGTATATGTGTATGTGTGTTCGTGTCCGTATGTGCGTAGGCAACGGCATATAGCGGCATGTAGATGTATACGCATGCAGCCATGCAGCCATGCATGCATGCATGCATGGACGGATGCGCGGATGCATGGAGATGGGTATGGTGGATGTGTGGAAGTATGGGCAGAGAAAGGCATGAACGATGACTCGGACGGCGAAGGTGATGTGCATCACAATGACTGCGATTGTCAGACGGATCTTCACCGTTATGGCATGCATCGTTATAATCATAGAGGATGGCCGTATGAACGTCCATCACGAAGCCCTGCAACTCAACACCCTAAACGCCTCCACGCCGGTGCCCACCAAGCGGAACTCCTTCAAAAGGTAGAGGCACCAAAGCAGAATACACAATGTGGAGAGCACCATGCCAGGGCGAAGTCCGGCCGTCCTTCGCAGACCGCTGAGGGTTTAGGGTTTAGGGTAGGGGCCTTAATGATGAGAATAGCGTTTTGGGGTTCCTCATTATAATTATAGTCTTATAGTATGATACCCCCAAGCCCTCTTCTAATTATTAAGGCCTCTCTATTCGAGGGGGTTCATGGTCCAGGGATTGAGGGCTGGAGGGTCTGCCTGAGATTTGGCGTTTCAGAATTCCGGCCAATTCAAGCCATTTGGATTTTGTAGCCCCTAACGGTCTGGGGTTTAGGGTTTAGGGTTTTAGGGTTTAGAGCTTCTATAAACCCTACCAAATCTTGGCCAAGCGGCTCAAACTCAAGCAGGCCAAGCCCTAAGAAGGAGTTGATCTCTGCAATGATACCTGCCTGCGCGTTCGACAGGATCAAGGAGTCATCCTGAGTTTCTGTTTAGGGACTGACGTGTTGGGTTCATGTAGGTCTTTATGAAGGTTTGTAGGGAGTCTTGATCAAGAGTCAAGAGCTTAGTTCAAGGTACTATAGTAGCGACCTTCAGAATTTTGATATGCTTTCCTGACTGTACTATGGAACTGGCACACAGCTCCTCAACAAGAACCAAGCATCTTGGTTGCAAACGCGGGAGACGAGGCTACTGCCGGCTAGGTCCATGTAGCTGTGGTCGTGTGCACTACGCCTCCAGCTCCTGCAAAAGCACTGCAATAATGAATAATGGCAGTGATGTTGAAACTCCACAACAAGACTAACAAAGAGATAAGGCTAAGGTGCGTAACACAATTTGACATGTGCAGCTTGTACTCAGCTAGACAATCTGAACAGAAAAAGCAAAATTGATCATGTCCTGGCGCTCTCCAGCTTGGCACTGAATGGGTCTCCGAGGAAGGCATCCGTCAACAAGATGATGGTGAAGATGATCCTTGCATGTTCAGGTTATTTTGAAGATGACCCCTGTTTGTTGAATCTCTTATGGCCCACTGCAATCCACGAAAGAATCCTACCTTCGACTTTTCTCTAAACAAACCAAAAAAAGCTGTCATCGTCATACTCCCATCAACAAGCATCAATCCCTTATATACCCTTATCAAAATTCCTGATGCACCCTGAAACCCGAAAAACAATCCTAGAATGCTAAACCCTATAAACCTTAACCGCTAACCCCCACATTCTCGACCCCAGGCACCTCAATCCTAAAGCCCAAAAGTCAGGAACAACCCTTGAGCGGCGCGAAAAAACGCAACAACAACAATGGGTCCTATGTTCCTTTGAAGGTTTCCTAAGTACCTATACAGTGTACAGGGTTTTGCAATCAAGAACTACTATTATGATTTGGGGAAGTATCCCCCATAACAGTACATAGGACCCTTTGGGGAAAGAAGCCTTATGACAAAGCCCTTCTAATTCTAGAAAACCCATGCAAGCTTAGGGATTGAGGTTTCTTTTTTGGGCTTATGATTGAAAAAAGGACTTCTATAAACAAAAATTGGCTTAGGATTGAAAAAGGACTGCCACAAACAAAAACGACCTAAACCTTAAACCCTGACCCCTAAACCCTAAACCCTAAACCCTAAACCCTAGACCCTAAACCCTGACCCTAAACCCTAAACCCTAAACCCTGACCCTAAACCCTAAATCCTGGCCCAGGATCTGCACGGTAGCGCTCCCGAGCAGGAGGAGCAGACCCATCAGCTCGTCAAACCATCCCGCATCCTGGGCTCTTTTTAGGGGTTTAGAGATTAGGGTTTTAGGGCTCTTTAGAGGTTTAGAGATTAGGCTTCTAGGGCTCTGTAGGGGTTTAGAGATTAGGGCTTTAGGGCATAGGGTTTAGGGTTTTTAGAGGTTTTAGGGCTTAGGGCTTAGGGTTTTTGGGCTTAGAGTTTGAGTTCTTAGAGGTTTTAGAGCTTAGGGCTTAGGGTTTTTAGGGCTTCGGGTAGGGGTCTCTAGGGTTTGGGGAACAACACGGATTATTCTTTGCTGCGTATGGTGTATGTGGCTTCAAAGTGTTTCTTTAAGGGCTGTTACAAACAGGGGTTCTGATGGGGCTTGTACGGCTGTAACACATTGTTACAGCCGTACAAGCCCCATCAAAACCCCTGTTTATAACAGCCTTAAAGAAACACTTTGAAGCCACATACACCATACTCAGCAAAGAATAACCCGTGTTGTTCCCTAAACCCTAAAACCACTAAACCCTAAACCCTAAGCCCTAAAAACCCTAGAAACACTTTGATGAAGGCTTTAGAGCATAGCCCAGCATCCGTCAATCCGAGCACCAGGACCATGGACCAAGTGGATTCCATGAAACCTGAGGCATAGGCTTTCTAACAGGATCTACCGGGTTTCTCATGCTTTCTTAGCCGGATTGTATGGAGTTTTGTTTAGAAGCTTCTAGACATCCGAAGCTGAAAAGTCTGGAATAATTACCCTGAAGTGTCAAAGCTGAGATATAAACTACCAACTGAACCTGAGACGAGGGCTTGGGGCTGCTATAGAGGCCCGAAGAATAAATCATAGCAACCCCCTCATAACCCGCATAGAGCTGTTTTGGCTGCATGAAATGTAAAACACTGTTCGAATTCAGACCCCCGTACTCAAAACCTTGAAACGTAAAGCCCTTGATTTTGAACTGCACCCTGAACTTAATTACTTGACAGGCTTGGATTTAGGTCAAACAAGGCTCAGGGGCACCTCTGATTTATGCGGTGTTTGGGAAGGACGAATCGAAAAGAAGGAGATTACTTCTGTGGCTATTGAGGCCCCTCCGGTTGGGTAGTTCTCTAAATTACGCTCGTCCTTTTTTATACGGGTGCCGTACTTTTCTTGCGACCTAAAAAGGGGCCCTAATTGAGAAGAACTACCCGCATGACCCTAAACCCTAAACCCTAAACCCTAAACCCTAAACCCTAAACCCTAAACCCTAATCATGGCCTCAGGATGTTTGGGGGCCACAGGCTTGACCTGCCTTCCCAGGCGCTGAAGAAACAGCGAGATAGCCAACCCTTAGGCCGGTTTAGGGGAGGCTCTTAGGCGAAAGCAACCATGAACCCAAAAAACTGACCCCTACACCCTAAACCCTAAACCCTAAACCCCTAAACCCTAAACTCTAAAACCCTAAACCCTAAACCCTAAGATAGCCCATCAGCCTCTGATGCCTTGAATCATTGAAAACGGATTATCCCAATGGACCCAGAGTCTCATCAGGAGGCGTCATCAACCGAAAAGCCCTAAAGATCGAAGATTTAGGGTTTAGGGTTTAGGGTTTAGGGTTTAGGGTTTAGGGTTTAGGGGCATTGAGAGGACCTGCATTTCCCAAAACCCTCGTGCAGGCGCCTAAATTTAAGTACCTATAGTAGTTTGGGGGGGTTCCTTATTATGATCATAGTATAATGGGCCCCGGAACCCTGTTCTAATTATTAAGGCTCCGATGTTAAACACCCTCAAGCCCTTAAGCTGCAAAGCCTTGAAGCAAGCCCCAAAGCAAACCACTTTGACTCTGGCGCTAGAAACCCGATACCTAGAAGACCCAACACCCTGGAACCTGATGGCCTGAGACGGCAGACCCTGAGGAACCCTGACGCCCTGGCGCCGGTGTAGGGTTTAGGGCTTAAGGGTTTAAGTTTAGGGTTTAGAGTTTAGGGCTTAGGGCTTGAATTCCCGATAACCCTACGCCCTGCAGGCCTAGCAAATCTCAAAACCTAGGCCCTAACCCTACCTGACCCCTTTCAAACGTCCTGTCAAAGCTCGTTCGAACCTACTTCAATATTTCAACCGTATCAAGGCCGGCCCATAAACTCAAAACCCCAAACCCTCAACCCAAAATCATTGTACCACGAACACAGGACCAAGAAATCTGAACCTTAACCCCATCAACCCTAAACCACATCACAACTCGATCAAGGTCCATAAACTCTGTACCCCTGCGAGCCCGGAAGCCTACCGGCTCAAAGTTGTCATCTTCCTGCGACCCAAGCGGGTTTAGGATTGTGTTAGGATTTAGGGGTGTTGGGACCCTAAAACCTAAACCGGCTACTCAGACGAGATAAGTTTAGGGTCTAGGGTTTCAGGGTTTTGGGCTTCAGGTTTTTGGAGCTTCAGTGTTTGTAGATTATGAACGGTTTTAGAATCATAGGCGTGAGGGGTTAGGATTAGGGCCTTAAGGTCGCATGCTGGCTTTGCACACAGACAGACAGACAAACGGACGGACAAACAGATCCTACTTGCCTACTTACCCCCTACCTACCTGCCTACCTGCCTACCTGCCCACCTGCCGACCTGCCGACCTGCCGACCTGCCTACCTGCCCACCTGCCGACCTGCCTACCTCCGTGCATGCATGCATTCATTCATTTATTCATCGACTCATTCATTCATTCATTCATTCATTCATTCATGCATTCATTCATTCATTCATTCATTCCATTCATTCATTAATTCATTCATTCATGCATTCACTCATTCATTCACTCACCCCACCCCGCATCCGCAGTCAGTGCGCCTTTCTAGGGGCAGGTCAGTCAGAGTCAGTCAGTCAGTCAGTCAGTCAGTCAGTCAGTCAGTCAGTCAGTCAGTCAGTCAGTCCGTCATTCAGTCAATCATTCAGTCCTTCATCCTTTCATTCATTCAGTCCATTCGTTATATCACTCGTTCATTAGTTTAATCATTCGTTAATGCATGCCACTCATTTCATCCCTTCATGTCACTCATGTCATTCATTCTTCCACTTATTCATATCTTCATGCCTTCCTTCGCTCATTCACTTCATTCATTCATTATTTCTTTCATTATTTCATTCATACATTCTTTCATTCGTTGGTTCATTCGTTCGTTAATTAATTCATTCTTTCATGTCATTTCATTTCATTCCGTTCCATTCCCATATACCAATGTGTAAGACAGTGTGCGTGTGTGTGTGTGTGTAATCTGACACACCGAAGTGCACAGGGCCCCTATGCCCGAGTTCAAAGGTTTTAGGGCTTAGGAGGAAACTGTGCTCAACGTCTTTCAGAATCTTGCTCGGATATCTACATGCGAATCAAACCATGGCATACATGCGCGCGCCGCAGACCCGAACACCAAGTAGAAAACTCGAAAAAAGCTGGACATGGATTAAGAATGGTCGACGATGGGGTTCTGTACCCTTTTTAGGTGACCAGAGGACGGCTAGGTCCTAACTAGGTTCCATTTTTTTGCTGGCTACTTTGTCTCAACACCCCTGTGCCGAGCCTAGAAATCAACCTTGCCTGGTCGTCCCCCGCCGGTGCTGCATCCACAACCACAGGACTGAGAGAAGGGCTTTGGGCCAGGAGCTCTGGAGGTTTGTGTAAAACTAGGGTACCTCATTATATGGCTCATCGCAAAACCGATCCCACTGTAACTCTGTAGGCTTCTACTGTAGCGTCTTTTCTTTTTTGATTTGACCCTCCCATATCGGATTTCAGACATCCGTGCAAGTAGCCTACGGTTCTTAGCTGCTTCTGCTTGCATCGGGAAACCAGTGTCGTTCACTATTAGGGATCAGGTGGCAATATCGTAGTAGTAGTAGTAGTAGTAGTAGTAGTAGTAGCAGCAGCAGCAGCAGCAGCACGAGTAGAAGTAGCAGTAGCAGTAGCAGTAGCAGTAGTAGTAGTGGTAGTAGTAGTAGTAGTAGTTGTTGTTGTTGTTGTAGAAGTAGCAGTAGTAGTAGTAGCAGCAGTCGTAGCAGTAGTAGCAGTAGCAGTAGTAG